GTTTCCGAAGTACGCAGTTGTCAGCCTTGAGGTCATGTTGTGGTGTGGTGCGCATGCTTGGAAGGGCTCCTGCATATGATGACGCACATCCTTGCGATGTGCCCTTCCACTGAAGACATTTGAAGAACAACCAAATCAATTCCTTACTATGTTCTGAAGGTTGCCAAAAGCATGGTTGGTTATAAGTCATATATATATATGTATATATGCAGTTGAGTTGTGCTTGGATAATTCAAATTCTAAGGATTCCTTTGTCAGTTGGTTGGGACAAACAACATGTTGATATTGTTGATCAACATCGACTGAGATGCGCTTGATGAACAAACAGATCAACCCTTTACTATGCTGACTGGGTACCCATTGTCTTCCCTCAGTTGTTTTGGTTCAATTATGGTATGTGGTCGATTTTATTTGCTATTGTGTTTCCCAAATAATTACACAGTTGTCATCCTTGAGGTCATGTTGTGGTGTGCTAGGAATCCTTGTAATGGCTCCTGTATGATGACGCACATCCTTGCGATGTGCCCTTCCACTGAGAACATTTGAAGAGCATCCAAATCAATTCCTTACTATGTTCTGAAGGTTGCCAAAGCAAGTTGAGATGTGTTGCTTATAGTTGACTTTCTGGATTGTGCTTTGATGACACCAGGACATGATGATAGTCCGATCATGACTGAGATGCATTGATGTCCAGTCAGATCAATCCTTACTATGCTGACTTGGTAGACGTTGATGTTTCTTGACATGTCATTGGTTTTTGCGTATATATGTTTGGTTGAACCGTCATTGAGTTGCTATGTTGTTTCCGAAGTACGCAGTTGTCAGCCTTGAGGTCATGTTGTGGTGTGGTGCGCATGCTTGGAAGGGCTCCTGCATATGATGACGCACATCCTTGCGATGTGCCCTTCCACTGAAGACATTTGAAGAACAACCAAATCAATTCCTTACTGTGTTCTGAAGGTTGCCAAAAGCATGGTTGGTTATAAGTCATATATATATATATATGCAGTTGAGTTGTGCTTGGATAATTCAAATTCTAAGGATTCCTTTGTAAGTTGGTTGGGACAAACAACATGTTGATATTGTTGACCAACACCGACTGAGATTCGCTTGATGTACAGACAGATCAACCCTTTACTATGCTGACTGCGTACCCATTGTCTTCCCTCAGTTGTTTTGTTGGTTTAGTTTATTTATATATATATATTGTATTTTTGTTGATATGTGTTGCTATGTTGTTTTCTAAGTACACAGTTGTCATCCTTGAGGTGCTTCTTTATGATGACGCACATCCTTGCGATGTGCCCTTCCACTGAAAACATTTGACATCCAAATCAATTCCTTACTATGTTCTGAAGGTTGCCAAACGCATGGTTGGTTGCTTTTTTTGTGCAGTTGAGGTGTGCTTGGGAAACATTTCAGGAATTTTAAGCATTTCTTTTTTGAGGGGTTGATGTCAACGTTCTGAAGGGTGGCTGGCAGTTGAGAGATCTATTCTCACTGCTTTGGCCAACACATGTTTGATATGTTTGACATGATCGTCTATGAACATAGTAAGGAACACCTGGATAGTAAGGTAACACGTCTCAAGTATAACATCGCTGTTTGAGCTATGATCGTTTCGCTGCTTTTGGGGGGGCTGTTTCGCATGCTGAATCCATGTCCCGAATCGATTCGATTCGGATTACCCCGATTCGATCGCCCGTATTACCGCGGGGTATGTGCCACGTCTGCCGCGTCTCGCCCGGGGAGAAATGGCAGGTTGATAACATCCACTGTGGGAGCTTTTACATCCCTGTGTATTTTCTCAGCACCTTGGGCAAAAGGATCCAGCCTGGAGACGTGACGTTCTTTTTTTGACGAACGAAAGACAGGGACAGATGGAGACGTTTCGCTTGATATCCATCGCGTCAGAGCGCGGCTTTTCCTGGTGCTTGACACTACTGACTTGTGCGACGAAAGTAGGGTGGCTTTTCGGGTGGCTGGATCAGGAATCTTTGGGGCGATCGAGGTCCTTCATTCCCTACGAAGATCGTTGCACCGGTCAGACGAAGCCACGGGATGTTGTCTTCGCCCCGGGCGATTCGAGTGACCTCGCCTCGCATCCTCGGTTCTCGCCGCGGGACACGCCACAGCGCCATCGGGTTTGCACGGTGACCGTGTCGGATGCTGAAGAGGTATAGAAAAACCATGAAAAACCTCATTCGGGGGTGAATGGAATCAGGTTTTCATGAGGTTGGGGTGGCTTTTCGTGCTTTTCCCAGAAAAGGAAGTTGGACTGTGAACCTTCGGCCAATCAGAAAATCCAATGAGGGCCTCTCCAAATGAATTGGCTGTTCATGTCTGAAACGCCCTGACGTAGTTTCAGGAAATTTTGGGTCGGAGTGATTGCCACCCGAGGTGTTGGCTTGATGCAAAGTGATTCCCTTCAAGCGTCGTCGCTTGGACGGAGCGGCACAGTTCGGCACCGTTTCCAGTTGAATGAGTGTGAGTGAGACTGACTATTCAAAAGAAAGAGACCTCCAGCCTGCAGCCAATGGATTTTGGTCGATTTTCCTTGTTCCTAGGGGTCCTTGGGAGGTCTCCCATGGTCTCCCTATTTCAGTACACACCCACAGGTCATATTAGATGGCTTGATTTGGGACTGTTCCGCTCTGTTTGGGAAAAGATGGGAAAAGATCACCGCTTGCTAGCAGCCTGCTCGCTTGGTCCGAGTGGTTGCGTAATCATCCTATAGGCATGCTTCATGGCACCGGATGCCACCGGCCCTTTTTGGACCCATGCGAACCATGCGAAGCGAGCTGGTCCAGCTCGTAGTCTCGTCTCGTAGGTTGCTCTATGGCACCTTATACCCGATCTGAGTTTCGGAGGTGCTGGTGGTTGTGAGAGTGCCGCCCAGGAAGGAGAATTTGATGGCTGAGTGGTGGACGACTTACGTGTGCGGGGACCCAGATGTAGCCGGAAAACGAGTAGATCAATGTAGATCATATTACATCTATTATACCCTAACCAACAAAGATCACCAAGCAAGAAGTGGACGACGTCTACAACAGCCCACGGCTATAAAACGGCTAGAAAACGGCGGTGCGAAAGCTTTCAGAGACGTTGGACATCCTGAGTTGCTGCCCCAGACGTCGTAGAGGTGCAGATTGAAGACCTGCCCTTGAGAAGTGTTGGGCAGATCCAGGTGAGTGTTAAGTCAGCTTTTGGAACTCATTCATAGGACTGCAGAGAGGGGGTTCCCGGTTTATGACCCTGCTTGGAGAATGTCTAGTTGTTCTTTTTGTTGAACCCTGCAAGTCAGAGAGTGGGAAGAAAACAACTGTCCAATACTCATCATATCGTGCAATTTACCTCCTCGTGACTCATTGTCAGTCTCTTTTGAGACGTCGAAAACATTTGGCCGACATGTGTTTCCGCTGATCATCCTTCTTCCACTCCGAGTTTTAATGTTCGGTGGAACCAATTTAGCTCGTCGTCGTTTCACCTCGGGCGTGTATACATGGCCATGCCACCGGTAGTGCCATCGGTTTGCAACGGCCATGCCTTGTAAGTGACCTGGTCTTGCTTTTTGGTGTCTTAAGGCATTATAGAATTATATTACAATATCATAGATCACTATGTTCCCTCTGGGTGAATCCCCGTTGTCCCAACGAGGTGCCATGTCTTAAGAGGTGCCATCCTCCAAAAAGGGGGCTGTCCGCGTGTCGCGCTGTCCGTGTGTTTCACGGTCCGAGGGGTCCGACGGGTTCGGTCCACTTGGTTCGTCTAAGGACTTGCACTGGCTTTTGGGTACCATTTATGTGCCTGGGCCGAGACGAAAAGGATCGAAAAGGTCTGGTGGAAGAGAGCAAACCAGAGACGAAGCATGGAGAAGAGGGCTGGTGTTTTTTGTGGGGAAGGATGAGGCACCAAAAGGTATGAGGCACTTGGGGACCTTCCCAAATCCGAGAAGGTTCTCCTGTCGTGGCTTTAGCTTCACCTTGTTGGGTGGCTTTACAGGCTTGAAATCGTTGGGATTTTTGAGGCGACCCACTCCTCCGACTGGTCTTCCACCATCTGGAAAATACTCTACGACGTTCCTCAGCGTTTCTCTCATCGATTTCCTTAAGAATCGCTAAAAAAAGCTTGCGGATTTCTGGTGATCCTATTCAGGGTTTTCAGGAGCTTGCGGTAGAAAGCCAGCGTTCTGAGAGACAAACCGGCAAGCAACAAAGTCACGAGAATTCTCCAGGAGAAGGAATCTCGAGATGGAACAACATTCTCAAGTAGATTAAGTACACAGATGTACACAGGATAAACTTGGAAAATACCATTGATAGGCCATGGGTTGTCCCCTGCGCTATCTACTCCAGGACAACCATACTGGACCATACTCTTAGAAGCTAGCGAAACGCGCGCGCGTGTGGATGTTCTTTTTCGGGGATCCCCGCAGGAGGAGTTTTCCTGGGTCAGCACAAGCCACATCCTGCTGTGCAACTCGTTGTGCGCTCGCAGGTGCGCGAATTGGCGCTTCTGCCCTGCCGCGCACCGTACCTGGGATGTTGGCTCCATGTGTGCTTGACTTTGGGCGATGGTATGGCCAGGGATGGTTCCAAGCAAGCCAAGTTATATAACCTAGAAGCAGAATGACCTATTTTGGACCAGCAGCCATCCAACATATGCCCCTTTCCTATCAAAACAGGGGTGCAATGCGTTCCAAAAGACACTTCTGTTGGTCAGTTGAGGTCAATTCTTTTGCACGGTTCGGTCACCGGCGGTTTGGCACCTTCGGAACGCGCCACGTTCGGAACGCGTCACGTTCGATCAAGGCGTGAAAGCGATGCAGACGGCCAACTTATTTTGGAATGTCATCATTGACCACTTGGCTCATCGTGAAGAGGTGGGGCTGGGATGTTTGGCTGCGTTCGGAGGTGTGGGTTTTTGTGGAGAGGTGGTGCTGGTTATAATAAGATGATTGTGAAGTGGGGGAGCAGAGGTTAGAGGCGGGAAGAAAAGGAACATGAGAAGAAATCTAAAGATCTGGCACAGCTGAGATAGCCCCCAACACTGAAGGCAATTTGTACTGTAATTTGTTCCTTCTTAGGATCTGTTGGCGGCTCAACACCGCAGTGCTCTGGAACACAGGTGGAAAATCATCCTCCACGGTCACCCAGGGGGCCGGTGCGTGGCAGGACATCCCATGTGAACAGTTCTTGGTCGGTGTTCTGTGGCACATCCCATGTTGTTCAACTTAGGAGAGCTGTGTCTTCGGTGCAAAAACCAAACTTTGGATTCCCTGTTGGTGGCGGAATCAACCAGGGAATCAAGTTGGGTCACGAACAGAAGAAGTAGGTAATTATATATATATCAAAAATTATTAATCATAGGTCAACATTATACCAAAAATTAAGAATGTCGAAACACAATATATATTCCCGAGGGCTTAAGGATGTTCCCGAGGGCTCCTGGCCCACATTCATAGAAGGTAGGGGCAGACTCCCAACGAGCATGTTTGACCCCAACCACCCAACCGCCTTCACAATTCGCCTGGAATCCACGCCAAGATGTGTCGACTGTGCCGACTGTGCCGACGACGTAGTAGATAGTGCGACAGTGCTTCAGAAGTGTCGTGCCATGAAGTGTCGTAGATAGTGCGACAGTGCTGCATCTCCTCGCGTGCTGGATCTACCAGGTCCACGAGCATGCTCACCACGAGGAGTGAGTCGCCGGCAATAAAGTCCTCGATTCTGCAAATTGCACGAGGTTGATTGGAACACGCAGAGACCCCCCCGCCAAGAAGTTAAACAGGTACATAGCACCTTACTTGGCTTCCAGTCTCTTTTTCTCCGTGTTTGAAAGTGAGGATGACTTGGGGTGACAGTACCCGCCAGCGTGGTGTTTGACCCTGTTAGTCCTGTTAGCGATCAGAGTGTGTCATCAAGTCCATTTCGCGTCAGACAAACAGCACGGGCGTCCGAGCCGGGGACGTCCGAGCCTGCCATGCTGAACACCCATGGTCCCATGGTGGAGCAACCGGTTTCCAGAAGTTGGTAGTCTTCCAAGTTTCGAAGGGGTTTGTTTCGCAGATTTCTGTGTGAGCTGGAAATTGCGTTGCTTCAGACTCATCTCTAGCATCAATCTCCCAGCTTTCAGAAAGCCCTTAGCTTTCCGTTTTTGATATAGGTACGATACACAGCCATTAGCTTTTAGAGCGTCCTTCAATTTCCTCGAAACGATCCGAGGATGTCATCAACGTGACTAGCTCCGTTGTCGTCCAACAAAGAAGATATGGCCAATCATCAGGGTACAGATATCACTGATGATATCGATCAGTAATGTAGGATCTTGATTACTAAACCCTCCATATGAAGAGGTGTTTGAATCCCCAAAGCGCGGGATTATTAATCAAGATCCTACATTATGATGGAGGCTATCCTTGTGGTGTCATACTCATGTGGGCACATCCAGTCAATCCCTTGGACTCTGCTCACTCTGCTCAGCACCACGCTGAGTTCTCGATTCAAAAAGCGATCATGGGCCATCTGGGGTGGGAAGGAGCAGATTGGGCAAGGTCATCGAATCAAACGGAAGACCGGTTGGAAAGAGATTAATGGTTTTGAACCGGTTGGAAACGATCTACCAGAGTCCAGTGGTCTGGGACCAATGGTCTGGACCAACCCACTCTGGAGAAGCCCAAGTAGTACTCGCCCTACGTACGTGTTGATCGCTGGAGTCTTCTTCAGAAAGCAGTAGTTGTCTCTCGCCCCAGCTGCGTTTCGACCCGAAGATGTTGGGAAACAGGTCGACCAGCAGGATTGCTTCGTACCTTCCAGCTGAATCTTTGTTCCTACCTACCGGCACGAGGGCTTGAAGCCGAGGGAGCACGATTAGTAGGGGACCCGTGGGAAGAAAGCACTCTATAGAATTCATTAGAATTCCGAACCACCGGGAACATGGTCACATGTCACTAATGCTGTTCTGAAGCATCGCTCTTTCGTCGGATGCCTGGCTCGGGAACAAGCAGCGACATGAGGTCGTTGAAGGCTGAGACATGAGGTCCCCAGCTGCGCATTTCAGCTGAGACAGACTTTGCACCAGTTCTTCCACTGAAATGAGCATATAGTGGATCAATGAGAATTACATGACAAGCACCAGGATATTTCGCCAATATTAGCATGTGTAATCCAGTGATTCTCCATTAATGTTTGCAAATCCATTTCTACGAGGGTCAAATTCTTGAAAAGGACCGCACGCAAATCCGGATGACTCACACCACCCACTCCACGCAGATGCTCCCATCGAAACGCCGACCTGTGATGGACCAAACACATCTAAAACGCATGTCTTCTACCAAAAAAGACTGGATCTTCTCCAGTTTTGCCCTGCACACCTCTGGTCTACGATCACTTCTGACGTCGGTCCCTCCGTCCCGTTCGACGTGACCGGACCACGACCGGTGCGGGCCGCGCGGCCGCGCGCGGCTGACGGCCATGGGCGGGCAGCTGTATTGGCGTGTGCGCCGTGCACCTCGGTCCCGTTTCGGTCACCACGGTCAGTGCTGCGAGAGGACATCCGGGCGGTTTTTGGGTGCCGTAGGCCGCAGGATGTACCAGGACCTTCAGTACGTGACCGAACTTGATATCCCAGGATGAGGTCACTTACTCCAAAGAGGTCATGTACTGAAGGTCCTGGTAAGTGATGTGAAGAACTTCTTGATGTTTTGTCACGTGTTTCTGTGTGTGTTTGTTGCTTTCTGAAGTCATTCCTGGAACAACATCTTTACACAGAGCTGACATGGGGCGCATGAGTTGACATTGACGATCAGAGAGTTTCAGAGCATACAAGTCTCACTGTTTTCCCGTCCCTTCCCAGTTAAAACGTTTCTTTCACAGCGGGTATCAGGGAACAGAATCATGTGAACGCCTGAAAACTGGCCGTGGTCGTACCATTTCTAGCCTAGTATTTTGCTCAAGTTTGGGGTGCCCAGGAATGCGAAGGGATATAATTCAAAACAGTCGGAACCAGTTAACATAATTCGCTGGCAACCAGTGGTTCTGAAGGGTCAAACCATAGACCTAGAAACCCTGGTTCCTTATGCATATATTCAGGGACCCTTTTAGTGGTCCCGCATTGGCTATGAGTGGAATGTGGAATGCCGCTGTGGAATTAAGAAGTCCTTTTGTTTGGCCAGTTTGGCACCCGTGGGACGGTCAAATTCGAACAGCCAAATGGAGGACATTGGACTGTGAGGCGACGTAAGCGTCGACAACAGGATTCTATGGGGAAAGGGTTCTCGAATTTTTGAAACTAAGAAGAACAACTGTTGTCCTCGTGGTATACCTGGACCTTCCACGGGTGTGTTTTTTCTGCCTTTTGGCGAAACAGCACAAATTTCAGTCGTTTGCCGTCAAAAACGCCGTTTCATTTCAAAAGTGCCGTTTCGATGTTTTTACAGAGGTTACCAAACTAGCAGTTGGCAAAAGTCGCCGTTTGGTCAGGGAAAGTCGCCGTTTGGTCGGGAAAAGTCGCCATTTCAAAACCTTGACATACCATCGAAAACATATCAATTGCAAAAAGTGCTTCAGTACAAAATAGTTGGCGTTTGCTTGAAAAAGCAGTTTTGATTGAAAAGGCGGAAAAAAGGCATACTTATGAAGACCCAGGTATGTATATCATATATACTGTATATATCTAGTGGTAGTTCTAGTGGTCATTGGGATTATCCCTCAGATCAGTTCCTTGTCCGAGCCCCTGAGAGTCATGTCGATCCATGGTGCTGCTCTCAGGCGTGGTTCCGGCCGCTTGGAGTGGCACGGGCGAGGTTCGGCTCGGGCGCAGGTTCGGATGGATCTTCCGTGGGGCGGACGTGAGGTTGGCGTCGTTGCCCAGATAGAACCAACTAGAGTGAAACCGACCTACTCGCATGGAAGCGTCAAACTATGTCAAACCAACTGGAATGGGCTGTGTTCGACCCGATGGGTCACTCGCTTCGCCCGGGGCTGATGCACGACGCAATGGGTGAAGTGCGGACATGAAGAAACGCAAACCCCAAACCATCCCAAACTTAAAGCTGCACGCAGCAAAACATTGACCATGTTGACCATTTAAGATCACTGAGGATTAGGACCAGCACAGCACCCGTGACATGTCGACGTTGGCAACGACCGAGTCTGCAACGTCGTGGCCAACGGAAGTTGGAACCGAAGGTGCACCTTGTTGATTGTGAGAACCACAAAATGTGGGAACTTGGATTGCCTGGATTCCTAGATATGTGTTTTGAAAGAATGGCAAATCCCAGTGAACTAGTGCTTTCATGCGTCAATCATTGTATTTGTATGTGTTTTTTTGTTTTTCTTATGTCTCATGAACATGAACTTATGATTTGATCGCTTGATGACATCAAAAAGGGATGTGAAAAGAGAAGGGCTACTGTAAAACTGAACCTCCAAACTTGCCAGAGACATTACCAGGTACTGTAGAGGTAGAACCGGGTAGAGAACGAAGTCCATCCAAAGTTTGATGTGTACAGCTGGTGACTTGCAAGATCACCAATTGTATTTATCCTACTGGGAATGATTGATGCAAGTGACTGGAAGACCATTTTGGCGTGGGGGTTGTTGACATGCAATGAAATAAACAAGCAAATTTGCCAACATCCTTTGCATTGGAACTTTGCTTAGGAAGCAATTGGTCCATTTCAGCATTGGACCATCATGTAATCATGTACATAGAACGTTCTTGGACCTCAACAACTGGACCTCCTGGTGTTTCATCCTCCGGATCCCGGACCCCGCCGCTTCGTCCGCCGACCCGCTTCACGCCGCCGCTCAGGTACGTCTTCGCCGCCGTCTTCTTGGCCTCGGGCTTCGCCCGGCGCGGAGGCGTCGTAGGCGGCCGCAACGGTCCGGACGGGCCTTGTCCTGTTTTTCTTTGTGTTGGCTTTGCTGGGGTCGTTTTTTGGGCAAAAGCGCAAAAGCAAAGCACCTAAGATGAGTTGTTGAATGATTTCACTGAAGTTCAAGATTGTTCAAAGTCCTCGGAAAAGGAGCTGGTAAGGTAAGGAGAAGACACAAGTGACTACTGTGTCTCAGAGGCGCAAAGGCCCTTCCCCCAGACATCGTCAGGTAATCTTAGAAGACTCAGACTTTCCCAATGTCATTGCTGGAATCCAGACATCTGCGCCACAGGCGATGTCTTAATGGCACTGGCAGCAGTGCTGATGTTGCCCACTTGTGTCGCTGGTGACTCGGGCAAGATGAGGTGGTGACACATTGACCGAGAAACACCACATTCTTCTGAATTCTGAGATTGAAGCTGGAAAGCTGATATAGGTTCATCGATTTGCGGATCCCTAACTTTCGGACAGCCCACCTGGCTCACCGTGTGGCAGCAGCTTTCGTGATTGGCTGTGCAGATGTGGTGGAGTCATGGCGGTGTCATGCCGGGGCGGGGATCAGCGCGATATCACTCAGGAAAGAGCAAGTTACTGCCTTGACACATTACTTTAAAGCAACAAAGATAAACATAATTAACATTAACTAACAATGTAAGACTCAACGAAACGGAGAGATGTTCGCTGATGAATCACTCCGCAAAATTCATTGCCTCTTCATGTGGGGGGTTGAAATGTCATCAACTCTACAATAAAAGCCAAGTCGTTGCTTCGTCGAAGTCTCGCATGTCTGGGCGCGACTCACGGAGTCTCTTCGCCCGAGGCTCCTC